GCATACTTTTGTTTACCTGCCCGTGTTCACCTGCCCTTGTTCTCATGCCTCTTATAAAACTCTATTTGACTATTATCATCTCGTTCATTAAGACTTCACACACATTCTTCAGTTCTGCTTCTTAACAAGCCCTAATTTTGTTCACGTCTCCACTCACTCCTCTCTCACAAGGAGATGTTGACCTTAGCCCCTGCTTTGCCTCCAGGAAAGGCCTCATCAACACAAGCATGCTCTCAGTCCCTTTGCCAGAGACTGGAGAAAGCATTGTCACATGGCCTTGGCCAGTCAGACAAGAGTGGAAGCATGTGAGGGGCTCATCCGAGAAAGAGATGGCCAGCTCTTTTCCTCTGGGTGTACCATAGCTACCTGTGGCCTCATGGGTCTGCCTTCCTCAGCCATAAGCAAAGTAGGCCACCTGGCTTCTTAATAACACCCTACAGTCACTCAGCTCTGAGAGTCTCAGTTTCCTCTTTTGTAAAATGAGGAAGTTGACCTAATTTATCTGTAGCTTCCTTCCAGGGTTAGAATACCATGTGTGACTCAAAACGGTAATGGGGAGGAGACATAAGAGGGGACGTGGGAGAAAGAGAAGGCCAGCTACTTTTATGTGTAGTTCTAACCATCAGCTACCACTAATACAAATAGCTCCTTGCTTTTCAGTGACTGGGTAGTCTCAACTCTCCAGTTTAAGAAACAAGTATTAATCTTGGTTTAACCACTAAGATATCCTCACATTTGTCCTTTATCTGAAATGAAACTATTAATATCCACTCCTATCTTATTTGGTAAACAAAATGTTTTTACTACAATTCAGTGAAAAGTGTAGTGCAATTCGAGCCTGAGGACTGAAAATAATTCTTTTTCTCCTTTAATTCTCCTTAAACCATTCTCTCCTCCTCCTATAATTGTTCCAAAATCACCCAAGAAGACCTAAAGAATTAGTAAATGGATGGGCAATTGTATGAAAAAATTTTTTAAAAAAATGCAGGATTGCTTTGCCTGAGATTAGTGGATCCTAGCGTGCTTCAAAATGTTCAGAGTTAAGTTGAAGCACCATCTAGTGGTTCTCAACTATGTTTTGCTAAAAGTCACTCTCAATTTCCCTCAGTTTAGGACCACAATTAACTTATTGCACATGTAATACAGCTGTCCATGAACCATACAGGTCAACATCTATGCAAATTTTTTTGTGTGGGCGTGTTAAGCAGTCCAGGGCTGGCACTCTAACCACAGAGCTACAGGCACTCAGCCTATCTATGCAAAATTTGTCTGCCTCTGCCACAGCAGAGGTCTTGCCCTGAGACAGCAAGACCAACTCCTCCCCTTCCTCCTGTTCCTTAGCCTACAAACATGAATTATGCAGACCTTTATGATGATCCACTTTCACTTAATAAGCAGTAAACATATGTTCCCCTTCTCATGATTTTCTTAACATTTTCTTTTCTCTAGTTTAATTTGTTGTAAGAATATGTGTTAATTGACTGCTATGTTGTAAGTAAGGCTTCTAGTCAACAGTAAACTATTGGAAGTTAAGTTTGGGGGGACTCACAATTTGTATGCAGATTTCTGCCTGCATGTGATATAGGGGTCACTACTTTTGCAATTATTCAAAGATCAACTGTATTTGTATACATATATGCATTTAGAAAAGAAAAAACCATTTGTTTTTTTCCCCATTCATATTGTAGGGAAAGGGGGCTGGAGGAAGTAGCTATATCTTTTTACTCCTCCAATATAACATCACCTCAAAAATTATGGCAATGAGAATAAGATAAAGAAGCAGGATGAATTCATATAAACCTCTTCCAGGAAGAACAGACTCTATTCAATGGGGGAAAAACTAATAGAGCAAAGTGCCATAGATTTCAGTTCCTCTGTTTTCTCTGATCACATCCAAAGAGCCCACAGCATTATCTTTATCTTTTCAATCCTGTGCCACAGACATGTTCTCATGTGTCTAGAGATTAATGGACTATTGGATAATTTTTACACACCTCCAAATTCCCAAGCCCTTTTCCACCATAAGCCTACAAGCAACCCTTGTGTTTAACCAGGAGAACTGTCAAAGATGGCTCCCATACCTATGATTTCCATCTTCTGAAATTATGTCTGTTTCATTACCAATATGGGGAGAATGAAGTAGACCATAATAATACACATGAGTAGGAAATCTGTTCTATTGTCTCTAGGGGAAGAACAAAATTAAGCCATAGAAATTCACATGACTAGAACATAACTTCTTGTTGTAAAATTGACAGCAAACCTTCAAATTGACAAACTAGGTATTTGTATCAATTAGGATTAAGTTCAGCTGTGTGTAGAATAAAATCCAAACTGACAGCAGCATGAATAAAATTGTTATTTTCTCTCATGCAAATAAAGTCAATGGATAAGTAGGTGATCAAGGGCTTGCCAGTCATCAGACTCAGGATCCTTCTAGCCACCTCTTCTTCCATCTCAGTGAACAGCTTCCAACCTCACCACTCAAGTTGGTTGTTGGACTGCCACTCACCTCACCAAAGTGCAGTCCAGGAGATGAGAAAGAAAAGCAAAAGAAGACCCTTCTTTTCTCTTTAAAGTCCCTGAAAATATCACACAAGACTTACGCTTATATCTCATTTGCCAAAATTTATGTAGGCAGTCATACTCAGCTGCAAAGCAAATTGAGAAACGCCTTTCACTGAGTACATCCCCAAAATAAATTAAACTGGAGTCATGTTATTAAGCAATGTATCTGTTACCTAAAGCTACAATAATGCTGTGTAACAACCAACCACAAAACCTCTGTGGCAACAATTACTCATATGTCTGGGATTAACTGCAGATCAGGTCGGCTGTTCTTGACTGAGCGGCCTAGACTATTGGATGGTCTAGGTTGGGCTCAAAGAGGAGAGGGGGTGGGACTGAAGTGACTCAGCTCTGTTCTATATGATTCTCCTCGTCTCTCTGGCTGGGCCAGGCTTGTCCTCATAGAGCAGTGTTTTTCAACCTTCTTTGTCTCAGGCACACTTGAACCTATAGTGAAACTTCTGTGGCACGCTTAAATTATGTTGATCCCAAAAAAGAGTAAAAAAAGAATATACTTACTATGCTTTGAACTTCTTCCAAAAATAATGTAATTAATTGTAAATCTTTAATAATCAATTATATATCTTTAATAATGTTTGTGGCACACTTAAGATCCTCTCATGGCACACTGGTTGAGAATCACTGACATAGTGTAACAAGTAGAAATATGCAGGCCCTCTGAGGCCTGCACTTGTAACTAGCACATTGTCATTTCTGCCTCATTTTACTGGCAAGAGCAAATTACATGGACTGGATACATAGGTACCCACACTATGGAAAGAACTCTGAAGCCAACTGAAAATTTACATGGATAGATGAAGACAGAGTCATGAATATACTATCTGCTAAAAGGAGAAAGGGGAGGATGAGCATTAAACTAGGCAATTAGTAATCTCTAACAATATTTTCTAGTTTGTGTATTACTAGATGTCTTCTCATTCTATGTCCTGTCTTAAACATGAGAGAATGTTAATAAAAAAGAAAGAAATTGCTTATGTTTTTTATAAGTATGACATTATCTACTAATTTAGTTATTTCTTGACTCATGTTCAATTAATCTTAGAATTTATCCTATTCTTTATGATGGGCAGAGACAGGCTAGATGTTCACCAAACCTCCTTTCTTTTTTTCCCAAGGCACTTAGACTACATTTTCCGACCTTTGTCAAAGTTAGTATACCATGTGACTGAGTACTAGCCAGTGGAATGTGAGCACAAGTGATTGCTACTCCAGGCCTGACACAAAAGGCTCTCATACCAAACCTTCCTCTTTCTCTCTCTGTTTACTGTTCACCAGCTGAATTAGAGGATGCTCTGAGAAGGGCAGAGCCATTGGATAAAATAATAGCTTACAGAAACACCCCTCCAGCCCTCTGCTCCAACCCTACCAACTGCATGAGAGTGTGATGTCAGCAAGAATTAAGTTGTGCTGTGAATACACCAACAATTAAATTAACATACGTATATAATGTCCTCCAATATTGTGCCATCATTTTCTTTCTTAGGCTTTTGCTAAAAAACAAAAGTAACATCCCTGCTTTTTTACATAAGAAATGTCTTCCTTTAAATAAAAGGGCTCTTTTTATTGTAGGAGTACCACCTGTATCAAGTGTTGATAGGGTCTCAGTTTACCATGGCCCTAGAAGATATTAGGGTTTTATTGATATCTTACTCTTACTGTCATTATTAATCCATCCCAACCTCTGCAACCTGGAGTATAGACATGAAAGAGATTTGGAGTATCGGAGCTCTAAGCTAAAAGTCGCCCACGGCCTGACTTGCAGAGGGTGTTTGCCTGGTTCCTGACTTTGTAGCCTTGATTAGCATTTCAAGTGAGCAGAGGAAGCAAAGAACCCAAGGGGTGTGAAAAAACTGCAAGGCATGGTTATTAGTGTGTGCATTTTGCTGAGCCATCTTCCTCCTTATTTGGAGAAGCAGCATAATTTCACTTTGCAAATAAGAACTAAGGGAAAGGGGAAAGTGAATAAGAAATCCCAGGCATTTATGATGGCAGGTGCCAAGTTTTGCATGTATATATATATATATATATGCGGTGTGCTAAGAGTTAGAAGCAGGCCTTGCTAACTCTCACACCAATTCTTCTAAACTTGAAGGCAGCAAAGAGTCACAGGAACAATTACACCAGAAGTCTGATTGCAAAGCGCTGCTTTTTTGTGATGCCTTATCAACCTCTTTCAATTTTCATTCTCTAGGAAAAAAACATAAAATGTGTAAGTAAGGGGGGAGGATGAACACAAGCCTCAACAGAGCAATTTGGAAGAAATACTTGAGAAACCCCAGCAACTTCATTTTCCCCATCGAATTCTCAATGTTAGGTCAGGTCTCTCCTAGTTCAAAACTACACTGAAGCAGAACTTCAGACCCCCAGGGCTATAGGCCCCTCTAACTGGGCCCTCAGTTGTTAAAAAGCCTTCATGGAGGACTAAGGGAAAATCACAACACACCAAAATAGGTGTCAAGCTTTTCTCAGTACATTGTCAACTCAACGTTTTACAATGAAATTTTCTTTCAAGTGGGTCTTACATTTTTCCAATCTACAGTTCCTACCTGCTATCATTTATCCTCTGGAAGAAAACAAATCCCACGATAACCAGAATTATCACAGAAAGAGAGAGTTTCACATAGAGAATAATCAGGAAGGTCAATGATGGAAATCTTGAGGTTCCGAGACCTTAAAATACAGGCAGAAATAAAAAGTCATTTAAAATATTCTTCTAATTAAGAAATTAGCATCAGTAATTTTAAAAAAATTAAAAATATTCCTAAAAGTTCACAGCTGTCATAATCATAAAACCTTCTAAATTAACTCTACCTAGGAGATCAGGGAGAAGTGGGATTTGAACTAAGCTTTGCTGGTCTACAGAATTAAATAGATTTTGAAAAGAAGGAAGAACTTTTCAAGGTTAAGGATCAACTTGAGGAAAGATTTGAAGATGAGTTAACCTATTTGAAGCATAGAGTGGGTTATATAAAGTCTGTGATGATCTGAACCTAATTCTGCAGTTATTTGTATATACTGGGTACTGTGCTTGAACTTAGGGATATAGAAATCAAAGAAGTGGTTCCTGGCTGGGCATAGTGGTTCATGCCTGTAATCCTGGCACTCTGAGAGGCCAAGACAGGTGGATTGCTTGAGCTCAGAAGTTCAAGGTCAGCCTGAGAAAGAATGAGACTCTGTCTCTAGTAAAAATAGAGCCCTGTGATGGGCACCTGTAATTCCAGCTACTCCAGAAGTTGAGGCATGAAGATCTCTTGAGCCCAACAGCTTGAGGTTGCTGTGAGCTATGATGGCACCATGGTACTCAACTCCAGGGCAACAGAGTGAGATTCTGTCTCAAAAGACTAACCAAAAAAGAAGGAGAAGAAGGAGGAGGAGGGGGGAGAGGAGGCAGAGAAGGGGTTCCTACTGACAGTCAGAGAAGTAGGTAGTTGTGATATGAAAAGAAATATATATTTGGTTATTTTCCCCCAGATTCTGGTATAGTTGCTGGTATAGTCTAAGGGTTTCTTCTAAAATCCTTGGAAATTTCACAGTGATAAAAGCATCTTTTATAGACTAATGATGAGATGACTGGTGACTGGGACCCCCAGAGAGACTCAGGATAGGTGTGAGGAAGATCCAGGCATTTTTAATTAAGACTTTCAGTCCGCACATCATGCACCCACCTCTATGGACCTCCTGGGAGGGGTTAAAGATTGAACTAATCACCAAAAGCCAATGATTTAATCAGTTGTGCCTATGTAACAGAGTCTCCATAAAAACTCTAAATGACAACATTGGGAGAGCTCTTGGGTTGGGAGATCTTCAAATTCAGTAAACCCATCACCAAGCTGGGAAGTGGCACTCCTGGTGATAGCAGGAAGATCCCTTGAGACAAGGAGTCCCTTGAGTCTAGCCTGACCAACATAGTGCATCCTCCATCTCTAAAAATAAATAAATAAATATATATATATAATTTATGATAATTGATTAAACAATAGAAGAAGAGAATATGATGAAAGAAATGCATTGTGGGGGGTGGGTAGAGGTTGCAAATAAAAAAAGGACAGAGGAGTAAAAGAGCATAACACATCTGAAGAGCCCAAAGAGCCCCACATGTGTGGGCTGCAGGCTGGAGAGCAGGGACACACTGGTCCTGGTGAGAGACATTATGTGATCAACTAAGGCAGTGGGGGAAAGACAAAGGCCCAGATTCAAGGTCAGATCAACATAAGATAGTAACTGGTTCTGAATATGGAAAATAAGAAAGAGAAATTTTATAGGATTTTTAAAGTTTCTGGCTTGAGTTATTTTCAAGATATAAAAAACGTGTAAAATCTCATAAAAGGATAGAGAAGAAGACCTCCATTTCAGGAAGTGGTAAGTTGAGGTGCCCTTGATGCATCCCAGTGAAGCTGTCCAGTGGTTTTGACTGCTGTATAGTCAAGGAGAAAAATCTGGGCAAAGACACAGAGCTAAGAGTCAAAATTTAGGCAGAGGTTGAAGCTATAGAAATAGATGAGATTACTCAAGCAACAGAGGTGAAGTAAGGAGAACAAAGATGGAACTCAAAGAAATGCCTTCAGTCACGCAATGAAAAGATAAAAGGAATCTATTTAAGAAACTAAAAGTTGGCCGAAAGTTAAGAAGAAAATCAAGTGATAATGAGAGGACAACATATAAAAAGGGAGAGAAACCATATCAAATATTACAAAGAAGATAATTAAATATTTAAAATGTTAGATATTACGAAAAATTATTCATTATTATTATTAAATATTTTAAAATAATTAGAATAAATATTTTTAAAAGCCAATTCAGCTAATAAAGAATATAATTTATATTTTATTTGGCATCTGGGAACTCTAGTGCTTTGGTCAGAGCACTTTCTGTGCAGGGAGATGTAACTGAGTTAAAGAATAGCTGTAAGGTGACATAGAGGGACGATAAGTATAGATTGCTCTTCAAAAACATCTTGGATATAGGTAGAAGGCAAGAGCTAAGACTTTTAGGAAGTTATAGCATCTAATTTTCAAACACAGGAGAAAAATAGGCGTGTTTATACGAGCAGCTTTAGGGAAATGATTTAAGGAACAGGAAGGATACAGGAGGGAGGGCAAATAACGAAGCAAAACCTTTAAGGATCTGAAAGGGAAAACACGCTCAGAGTATAGACTGATTATTCTACAGAAGGAAAAGTCAGGTGATACTGGAGATATCACATAGGTCTAGAGATAAAAAGTAAGACATTAAGAACCTGGATTCAGTGGTAGACTAATCAGGAAAAATAAAGAATACATGTGAAAATATTTACACATGCTACAACATGGATGAAGCTTAAAAGCATTGTGCTAAGTGAGTCTCTGAAGGCCACATGTTATACAATACCATTTATTTGAAATGTCTACGGGAGACAAATCTGTAGAGACAGAAAGTAAATTAGTGGCTGCCTAAAACTCAGAGCGATGGTAGAATTGGGGGGTGATAGCTAAAGGCACAGGGTTTCCTTTGAGGGTGATAAATACATTCTAAAATTGAATGTAGTGATGGTGGCACAACCACTGAGTTCTAAACTTTAAATGTATAAATTGTATGGTATGCAAACTAGATCTCAAGCTATTGCTTGAGGGAAAAAAGAGAAACATGAAAGACATTATACATAATAATTATGTAATGTTACATAATTAATATGATATAGTGATTTTAATGATAGTTATAATAATGAATGATTATAACCTCTGATTTGTATTAATGTACTAAATATAATAGCTATTTATTACTATAAATGCATTGGCTAATATTTATTAATATAAGGAAATAGTAGCTAATATTTATTGAGTACAAATGTGTAGTAGGCCTATACAATTACATGGACAGTGTTGTGTATATGTATGTACTGTGTTTCCCTGAAAATAAGACCTACCCAAAAAATAAGCCCTAGCAGGATTTCTATGCATTTGTTAAATATAAGCCCTATTCCAATAATAAGACCTAGTGATGGGTATGCTGATATGTGCAGATATGCTGCATAGCCACGCCATGCATTTTGGAGAGGAGCAGTAAGGAAGACTGGAATACCTTTTATCTGCCACAGCTCCTTTTTCCAAGCTGTTCACACTTGCACGGGTGGCTGTATGGTAACCAAGGTCACAGGCATCCTATTGCACACGTGTGAACGGCTAGGGGAAAGGAGTTCACATATCACTAGTGCCAGCCTCACCAACAAGGTTGGCTCTCCTGTCAGTTTCCAGAAGAAGATGACTTAATTGTATTTGAATAAATGTAGATTGCTGTATTATACTTAATAAAAATAAGACATCCCCTGAAACTAAGCCCTAGTGTGTCTTCTTGAGAAAAAATAAATACAAGATGGTGTCTTATTTTCAGGGAAACATGGTAGTTTTATTTAATTAACACAATAATCCTATCAGGTGGCTCTTATTTAACAGATGCAGAAACCATGAAACAGAGAAAGTAAATACTGTTCAAGTTACACAGCTGGTAAATGACAAGCCATGTTAGGCCAAATACATTGATCCCAACCATCAGATTATATTCCCACCTAAAATGTGAAGCTATGGACTTCATCATTTCCTCTCTGAATCATTAGCTTCAAACTTATAAATAACAGGCAATATATGTTTGGTTGGTGGACTAATGAATTGATTTCAGATGACAAGATACAGTGGTATGGAAAACATGTCTCTTATGTAGGGTAACAAATAAAATGGTGAGTATTATAAGAAATAGAAAATTCGGGGCAGGAATGAATGTCATTTGGGGGTATCTACTAAATAAATACTATTAAAACTATACAAAAGTTATTGATATTTTATACAAAAAATTAGTCTCAAAAGTAACAACCTAAAAATCACTAAGTTAGCAAAACATATTTTTATGGGTGTCTGAATAAAAGGCAGAGAAGAGCTGGTTAAGAAATTCTTAAATTACTTTCTTCTATTTGGTAATGGAGTAAAAACAATTTTTCTGGCACACTAATGCATTTCGCAGTTTTAGAGAATATTTTCAAATCAGGGCCTCAAATATTCTTACCCCATATGTAGTTATTCATAATCTTCTATGGGAGAAAAGGTTGAACATCAAGTTTACTCTTCTAAAAGACACAAAGGCTAACCTGGATTCAGCTTTATCCATAGGCTCTTGTTACCAGTCAAATGGGAGGCAGAGCAGGTCACAGTAGTCACATTGGGGTCCTCCCAGGCACATGTACTCTGGACAGTCACTGTGCCATTAGCCGAATATATTTCCACAGTGTCACAATCATCCCTCTCTGGGGTCCAGGAGATGTGTGCAGCTGGCTTCCCTGCTATTGCCTTGCACACCGCAGTTCTATTCCTGCTTAGAAACAGGGTCACTTCAGGGGGAACTGCAGAGATGGAAGGAAAAAAATGCTTCAGTCTTAACATAAGGGATATGGAATCTGGAGAGACATTTGTTTTAGTCACAAATGTGGTGATGTGAAATACACTGTATGTGGTGTTCCTTACCTAATACTTGGAGGTGATATTCATGCCAGAAAGTCCCATCATGTGAAGTTATTGTACACCTGTAATACCCATCATGAGAGATGGCCACTGGACCAATTTGAAGGTCAGGATTCTCCTCAGGTCTGGAGACCCAGGTTATTCTGTCATCGGTACAGTTGATTTCCCTGGTCTCATCTGTGTCACTCCTATATGCTTTTTTACAGGAAGGCTTGTCTCTGAGGATTATTTCCCATGTTGTTGATATTCTTGTCAATGGGGAGGTATGAGGGCAGCGGAGCACAGCCATGGTATCCATCACCACAGACACTGAAGTGTTAACTAAACATACATACACATAACAAAGGGGAATGATAAAAGAAGATCTGGGTAAAGAACTTCACGTGTTAAATTTATCCACATCATATTACATGAAGTTGTTCCACACACTAACTTTGCTTGCGATCATGTTCCAGAAGTATTACACTTACATAAGAAATTAACATTTGAAAGATATAGTGTATTAAATCTTCAGACCAAGAGGTGTACCCACCCTGCAATACACCAACCCTGACTATAGGTTCATAAAAACAGGCATATCTGTGGTACTCAAGGCTTCTGTGGTAGAGAAAGTTACAATGTGGAGCCTCAAAATGGCCTAGTAGGAAAGTCGCATTGGAGACTCCTGGGGTTCTATGGTAGAACCATGTCATCTGAAGCAGAGGACTAGTTCCTTTTTTAAAAATAGCTCATGGCATGCTCTGGGGCCCCAGGAAAGATTGAGCATCTGATCAGAGGCTATGAAATGATTGTGAACCCAGAATAACCCATCATAAAAGAGGTGTCATAAGACCCACCAAATTATAAAGCAAAGTGAGCCCAGCAGATATCCATTGAAAAAAAAGTGGTACATCTGGGATTAGGCTCCAGACAGTCAAGGGGAGTCCAGTCTACCTGAGTGAATGACTGGTCCAGACCCCCACCACATACATCAGTGTTATACTGGTGTCTCTTCTTCAGCCCACATCTAAATCCTCACTCCCAGGACCAAAAGCCCAAGCTTAGCCTATAGATCAGTGGCCTCTGTTCAGTGAATTGTGGTTGCACCAGAGCCCTGAAAGACAGTGGTAAGGAAAAACATTACCAGTAGGCACATTTTAAGTGGTACATCTGGTAAATCTACTTTGTGTGGGAAAAATGGGTAAGAAAATAGGTAAACTCATGAGCAGTGGCAAATAGTTTGGTTTGTTTGGTCATAAGGCTTAAGAATCAAGATTGGAAGGTAGAGGATGAGAAGATGTGGGCAGAGGCATGTGAGTGCATGCAGAAACTGCTAGTGGGATAGAGCATTGGAATGGCCTCTTAAAGGCACAACTGAGGCTTGGGAATAGTATCCTATCATATCCTATGAGGATGATGCTGTGTTCCCAGCACATAGAATGTATTGAGCCTGAGAGGAGACTATAAAGGGGTATAAATACATGGTGAACATTACTAGGGGCTATTTTGGAGGATGGCTACCATGAGAGTTGAGGATCACTATTTTAAATAGGTTCGCTTTTTAAAAGACCTGCAGGAAGCAAGGGAGCAAGCCACAGGAGTATCTGAGGTAAAGGTGTTCCAAGCAATTGTAAAGTACCTCAAAGTAGCACCCTGTTTGGTGTGTTCAAGGAACAGCAAGAAGACCTGTGTAGCTACAGCAGAATAGAATGTAATTCTGTAGAATTGTGTTGTAGGCATCTAAATTAGTTGTTTCTTAGGACATTAGTTAGTTGAATTAATACTATTTACTAAACAGTCCATCATTTTTCCATTAATTTTATTTATTTATTTATTTATTTATTTATTTATTTATTTTTACTGGCCAATGCGTTTCCAAGTTTCCAAAATACAGCCTGAACACTGCTCTCCTACCAGTGAGAACTCTGTCTGAACTTTCTTCCCAAACCCTCAATAGTAAGTCAGTTCTCATTGTATTTGTCATACTTTAGCAGTTTCCTATAATTTTCCCATTAATTTTAAATGCCACTTTAAATAGATACTAAATTTATCTATAAAATTGACTGTTTCTGAATTTTATGCTCTGCTCCATATCCAACAACCTTCTGATACCAGCATTAAAGCTAGAATTTACTTTAATATGTGCTTAGGAAAGTGTTCCCTTAGAATAATAGAATTCTAGAATAATATTATTCTTGAATTAGAATAATAACCAAAGAAATTATTCATTAAGTATTGTCTAGACATTTTATTATTTTATTCTTTGATATTAAATATAGAATGATTTTTCCAGCTAAATTTTCATTGTAGTTTGAATTTAGATTTCACTAAATGATATGCAATTCTTTTACATTTTCACTTTTCCTGCTCAGAAGTAATTCAAGTTTTCATATCACTTCTGAAAGATAGCTCTAATGTTTCTAATTTCCCACTACTCCCTATATATATACCCTTTGTCTCATAGTGACATAGTGCCCCTAAAGAAAAGCAGAGTATATTTCTTCATTCCTGTGATATTGGGCAACTTGCTTTGATCAATGGAATTTGGGCAGAAGTGACAGTATAACCCAAGTAGCCCACTAGCCCTAGAATGATTACAAAAAAAAAAGTAGACATATGGAATATAATTTTCCCTGATTCTTAGAGATCCTAGGGAAACTGTAGATTCTAACTAGCTCAAGCCAGAAACAGAGTCCCTCCAGAGGACCTATTGACACATGACACAGAAATAAGTGCTAATTTCTGTAAGAAAAAGTCAGCTGATAGCATCCCTAAATAGAGTTTGATATGTTTGTTTTTCATATGATCCTACACATATATTGTTACAGTTGATCACGTGTTTTATACATTTATTACTACTGTGAGTGAAATCTTTTTAAATGAGATTTTCTACTTGGTTATTGACATATGAAAAACTGATTTTTATACTTTTAGCAAATAATTAGAAAATTAGAGCCATTTTATTAGCTCTAATAGCTGTTTTTTTAAATAGAAATTATATTATCTAAAACATTATCAGAGCTTTTTATCATCTAGTGTTAGCATCTTGTTTTAATGGTCTTGGGAAACCATTACTCAAGAGACAGAAGATTTGGTCCCCTCTGTCTATGGGTATGGGCTGAATTCCAGTGGCTACAAGGTCATTTTTTCTATAGTTAATTAGTCTGGGTCATGTAGCCCCATGTTGCCTTCCTTGGTCAGAAGTGAGGCCTAAGTCCTGTTCCTAGATTGTCTCAATTTCACAGGCTCACAGCAGGACGAAAATTTTGCTTCAGTATGAATCATACCTCAAGTCTCACTCAATATTTGAGTTTTATGATATTTAAATGAGACTTGGGGCTTTCAAACTTGAATTGATGTTGGACTAATTTAAGACTTTGGAGGCTGTTGGTTTGGAATGAAGATATTTTGCATATAAGAAATAAATAAAATTTGTGGGGCCAGGGGAAAGTTTTATAGACTGAATGTTTGTGTTCCTACCTAAAATTTCCTATTTTGAAGCTCTAACCCCCAATATGGATGCAATTGGAGATAGAGCCTTTAAGGAAATAAAGTTAAATGAGATCAAAGACCAGATCTCTCTCTCTGTGTCCATATTTGTCATTATATGTCAATTTCCTCTCTACATTTTGTGTATTTGTGATTTTCCTTTAATTCCCACTTTAGAATAGTCTCAATCCTATCAAAAAATAAATTCTATGATTAATTTAAAAATTCTAATTTTTGCTTTTTAATTCATTTGGTTCCCCTTCTGACTTTATTGCTACCCTTCCCACTGCTTTACACTACTTGACTACAACCTGGCTTTCTAGGCTTATCACTCACTGCATTCCAGGATGCATACTAAACCCCTGCCACCCAATACTGCTCCCACTGACTGAAGCTTTTATGTACCTTTCTATATTGTACCTTATTCTACAATGGTTCCCCAGTCTGCATTTCCCATCATTTATACCCTCTAAAATACTTCTATAGGATCAGCTCAAAAGCCAGTCTCTAGAAAGCATAGATTTTGTGTTACCGCATTCCTTTCATTCTGCCTCCAGAATATACTATAATTCACGATGCCCCTGCCTACCTCCAAGACTACATAGGTTACCTGGCAGTGTAGGATAGTATAGGTTTTCTTCACCTTTGTAACTTCTATTTTACTAAGCACATTGCTCTGTACTAGTAAGAAGTCTATAGGGTGGTTTGTTCATTTTTGCTATTGTTATTGAATTAAATTGACTAAGTGGGTTCTTGCATGGTCTTCAAGCACTAGTGTGAAGAGGAGCATCTATTACAATTGCTCACAGGGAAAACAGTCATATAAATGTTTCTGCAGATGATCCAACCCTCCCACAGGACTGGTTCGTAAGTAAGTGAGCATTTTACCTTCACAACAAGGTATTACTGTCTGGTTTTCCAGTTGCTTCATCAGAAGTGAATTATTACCTGAATCTAGAAAATATTTTAAAAAGAAATAGGGAGAAAGTTAAGATATTTTATTTACTGAAATGGAGTAAAATCCCCTGATTTTATATAAAACAATCACAAAAAATTCAATTTCTTAAATTAATTAATATTTGTACAAAAAAATCAAAAAAATCTTTATATGAAAGAAATCAGAACTACATAAATATATATGACTACATAAAGTATGCCAGGATTTTGAAACGTCTTTTACACAGTTATAAAAAAATGATTCACCCAATATTATCGTACCAGATCAGCCTTTACCAGTCTTTTGTTAGCCACACCCACTTATAATCAGTGGAAGAGTTCACAATGCAGGGTCCAGGAGTCAAGTTCTATTTCCAGAGCTATTATGCAAAAGATAGGCAAATCCCACACAAACATACACAAAAATACAAAGCAGTGTTGGAAAAAATATGATAATCCCTATCTCTAATGCTGAACTTGTTTTAAAAAAAAGAAATGGTAAAGGAAACTCTCCCAAGGGCAAAAATTAGAAAGAAATAGGAACCTCGAGATCATGGGCTGAACTCAATACCCTAGAGCCTTTTCAAAAATCAGTTCAATGAATCTAAATTTATCAAGATATGTTTTATGGTTAATTTTATGGTTTACCTTGGTAAATATCCTGTGTGCACCTGAAAAGAATGTGTATCTTCCTATGAAGTTTAGTTTTATAAGTCATCTTGACTAGACTATGCTATTCAATAATTTAATCCAAACCCTAACCTTGGTGTTGTTGTGAAAGTGTTATGTAGGTATGATTAATGCTTACAATTAGTTATCTTTAAGTAAAATAGATTATTCTCAATAAACTAGGTGGGCCATTCAATAAGTTGAAAGACCTTAATAGAAAAACATATTTTTCTGCAGAAGGAAAACTTCTGTTTTAAGACTGTGGCATCACATTCTGCCCAAGAGTTTCCAGACTGCCAGTTTACCTTACAAATTTCAAACTTACCAGTTTCCACAATTGGATAATACAATTCCTTGAAACAATGTTTATACATGCATGTACACATATGTATACATATATGTGCATACATAAACATATATACATACATACACACCTACATATACATAATTCCTACTGGTTATGCTTCTCTTGTCAAACCTGGACTGGTACAGATTTGTGTACCATGAGTGGATTAGAGGAATAAACTCTTAAGGATGAGTTTTCTGAAATGGTTCTGGGTGTTCTGGTACTAATTCGCTAATCTGGTTAGATTTACAATCACTAATGACTATTTTTCTAGTGGTAAAAAGTGTACCAAAAGTCCATGGACTGATGTAACAATAAAGGTATGCAAATATCACCATTAAATAGTCCAAATCAAAAACTTACAAAGGGCAAGATTTTGGGTGATGATATATTGGACATTTTGGAACATTTTAGTAATATGAGATTGGCTGATTTCCCTTAAATCATTGGACAAAGTGTAGAAAGAAACGGATTTGTTCAAGACTTTGAATTCTCTGCTTAAGCTTGACTTAAATTACCTGAGAGTTTTTTTATGTCTACTATGAAAGAAAGGATGAGATTCATCCTATAAGTGGTTGAATCATAATAGAAATTGAACTGTTAACCTTGCAGGGTGTATTCTGTCAGAGTGAAGGAACAAAGTCCTGAAAATTGGAACATGAACAAATGGCCATGTTCTAATGAGGCTGGGGACATCAAATCCCTAAATTTTGCTTATATAAGCAGCACTTCTACTGCTGATTGAAGAAGTTTACCCTGCTTTGACTGAAGAAATTTTAATGACCCTCCTACCAAAACCAGGAAAAGACCCAACTAAAAAGGAGAATTTTAGACCAATTTCACTAATGAATATAGATGCAAAAATTCTTAATAAAATCTTAGTTAATAGATTACAGCTTATCATCAAAAAAGTCATACATCAGAATCAAGTAGGTTTCATCCCAGGAATGCAAGGCTGGTTTAATATATGCAAGTCCATAAATGTTATTCACCATATCAACGGGAGTAAAACCAAAGACTATGTGATCCTCTCAATAGATGCAGAAAAAGCATTCGATAAAACTCAGCATCCTTTTTTAATTAGAACTCTGAGAAGTATAGGCATAGGTGGTACATTTCTTAAACGGATCAAAGCTATCTATGACAAACCCACAGCTAATATTTTACTGAACGGAGTAAAACTGAAAGCTTTTCCTCTTAGAACTGGAACCAGACAAGGTTGTCCTCTGTCACCATTACTATTCAACACTATGCTGGAAGTTTTAGCCAATACAATTGGACAAGACAAGAAAATAATGGACATCCAAATGGGAGCAGGGGAGGTTAAACTCTCCCTTTTTGCTGATGATATGATCTTATATCTGGAGAACACCAAAGACTCAACCACAAAACTCTTGGAAGTCATCAAAAAATACAGTAATGTCTCAGGATATAAAATCAACATCCACAAGTCAGTTGTCTTTGTATACACCAACAATAACCAAGATGAGAGGTTAATTAAGCACATAATTCCCTTCTCCATAGCCTGAAAGAAAATGAAATACTTAGGAATATACCTAACAAAAGAGGTGAAGGACCTCTATAAAGGAAATTATGAAATCCTAAGAAAGGAAATAGCAGAGGATGTCAACAAATGGAAGAATATACCATGCTCATGGCTGGGAAGAATCAACATTATTAAAATGTCTATACTTACCAGAGCAATCTACCGATTCAACACCATCAGTATTAAAATATCAACATCCTACTTTCAAGACTTGGAAAAAATGATTCTGCATTTTATATGGAACCAGAAAAAAACCAGTATAGCTAAGGCAGTTCTTAGTAATAAAAACAAAGCCAGGGGTATCACTATACCAGATTTTAGGCTGTACTATATGGCCATAGTGGTCAAGACAGCATGGTACTGGCACAAAAATAGAGACATACATATTTGGAATCAAATAGAAAACCTGGAAATGAAACCAACAACTTATAGCCACCTAATCTTCGATAAACCAAACAATAGCATCCACTGGGGCAAAGACTCCCTATTTAATAAATGGTGCTAGGATAGCTGGATATCCACATGTAAAAGACTAAAATTGGACCTGCACTTTTCTTCACTCACAAAAATTGATTCAAGATGGATAAAGGACTTAAATTTAAGGCATGAAACAATAAAAATCCTCAAAGAAAGAATAGGAAAAACACTGGAAGCTATTCACCTGGGGAAAGACTTTATGAGGAAGACTACCATGGCAATAGCAACAGCAATAATAAACAAATGTGATTTAATGAAACTGAAAAGTTTCTGCATAGCCAAGGAGACAACAACCAAAGCAAATAGACAACCTACTCAATGGAAAAGGATATTTGCATATTTTGAATCAGACAAAAGTCTAATAACCAGGATCTATGCAGAACTTCAATTAATCTACAACAAAAAACCAACAATCCCATACCTCCATGGGGAAGAGAGATGAATAGACTCTTCACTAAAGACGACAGATGGATGGCTAATAGATATATGAAAAAATACTCATCATTCCTAATTATTAGAGAAATGCAAATTAAAACCACCCTGAGATATCACCTAACCCCAGTTAGAATGGCCTGTATCACAAAATCTCAAAACTGCAGATGCTGGTGTGGATGTGAAGAGAAAGGAACGCTTTTGCACTGCTGGTCGGACTGCAAACTAATACAACCTTTTTGGAAGGAAGTATGGAGAAACTTTAAAGAACTCAACCTAGACCTCCCATTTAATCCTGCAATCCCATTACTGGGCATCTATCCAGAAGGGAAAAAGACCTTTTATTATAAAGACACTTGTTCTAGGCTGTTTATTGCAGCCCAATTGACAATCGCTAAAATGTGGAAACAGCCTAAATGTCCTTCAACCCAGGAATGGATTGGAGGTAAGCTATGGTATATGTATACTGTGAAATATTATTCAGCCATTAAAAAAGATGGAGATATTGCAGCATTTGTACTAACCTGTATGGAGGTGGAACACATTATTCTTAGTGAAGCATCACAGGAATGGAGAACTAAGAATCCTGTGTATTCAACTTTGATATGAAGACAATTATTGACAATTAATAACATGGTGGGGCATGGGGGAAGGGGACATCAAACAGAGGAGAAGGGAGGGGATGTGGGCAAGGGAAAAAAAAGATGAAAGAAAATAGTGACTAATTTTCATATAAATTGTATTTAATTTTGACCAAAGTACATTACTTAAACATTAATTTTTAATTCTGCATGTTAATATGTTGTTTATCATATTGCATCCTCATTTATAAGTGAAATACGTTTGTAATTTCCCCTTTATAATAATATATTTTCTCCAATTTTCATATCAGGTGTATCCAGATTAAGTAGAATGATTTTGAAGTATTTCTTTTTCTATTGTCTATAAGATTTGGCATGATCTTTTTTTTTGAAATTGTCTTTTACTTTTGTTTATAAATATTAGTTATCTATTTTTTTGAGACTTTGGAAAAAACAAAATAATAATAAGAAGTTAACTGATCAAAGTATTCTATAAAAGGCATACTCCTATCTGACAATGTGAATGTAACTTTCTTTGCTTTATTACTATTATTATTGCTTAATATTTCATTGCAGCAATCGTCTGATTTCTTTTCCAAATGTATTTATCTGCATTCATTCTTTATGAGGTTTTTGTTCTCAGTCCTTATGTTAAACATTGTTATTGTCATTAAATTTAGCCTTTTTAATTCTGTGAAGGCAAAAGTGGAAACCTAATATACACATGTATAAGAAAAATAAATTTTTAAAAAAAGAAATTTTAATGACTTTCACTGAAATTGTTACCATGAAAGACACTATATATTCTCTTCAGGAGCTATCCTTCTTACTCCTCTTTTCATCTAGACTTAAAACTACACTGAAATCCCAGTAGCATCCAAAGAGTGAGATATAGTGTGACCCACAAGAAGGTACCTTACACAACAAAAGAACTATGTAATTTTTCTAATTTATACAATAATAAATC